TCTCTGTTTTCTGAGTTTTCTTTTTTCTTGTTTATTGTTTTGGTCTTTGTCTTTTGCATTAGAGGCTCTCTGTGCATATTTAATAGTCACACACCAGGAGCTGAACCCCACAGGTGGACAAATCCATCTTCTCATGGGCTTTACTGCAGGAGTTTGCACAGGGCCCAAAGTCACTGTACATCCACCTCTTCTCTCTGGTTGGAGGGGCCTAGCTGGAGGGGTGTGGCCTAGCCAGAGAGGGCGTGGCCTGATGGGTGCATGGCCTGGCTGGGGGCTTGGTAGTGAATTAAAAGACAAAAGAAACCAGGACCTAGTCAAGACAAGATTTCTCCCCCCACCCCCCCATAGCAGTTTCCAGCAGAGAGTGAGGTGACCAAAGTCTCACCAGTAGAGGAAGGTCCTTCACACCCTTCAAGGCTCCAATGGGGAGGAGGGAGGCACTAAAAGAATGTGTGACCCAAGGCTGAACTCTTGGGTAGATCAGGGCTGACCGGATATGTAGTAAGATAGAAAGGTGCCAGTCCTTTCTGTGCTGGGCCCAGCCCAGCTCTTGTCACATTGGGGAAACTGAGGCCACTTAGGACCTCTGTGTTCCTGTGGTTCCCTGTGAACACACCTGGCCAGCTCCACCCTCTGTCCCCACAGCATCTGACCCCATTGACCTCCTGGGAGCTTTCTTCTCCTAACTGGCCTTAGGAGTTTTGGCTGGAGTCCAAGGTCTCCAGGGGGATTTTAGGGATCTCTTCCAGCTGGGCCTGCTTGGGTTGGCCTTCTGGTGACATCCACCCTGCACATGCCCGCTGCTTGTGGATCCATCTCACAGAGGGAGCTGGGTGTCTGGGGACAGGACCACCCGTGTGCCCTGACTCCCCCTGTCAAGGTCTTATGGCCCAAGCTTCACAGTGGTCTCACTCGGCCTCTAGACTTTTCTGCGGTCGGTGAGGGTCCTCTTGGCCTGGGGAGTCAGCTTGTCTCAGGAACCGGGTCCTGAATTCTGGATACAGAGCCATCACCAGCCGTGCTGACTGAAGGCAAGTGTCAGGTAGATTGGCAGTGGGTGGGCAGAGCCCGGCAGTGACAGCCCAAGGGCAAGGACACGGGTGGCAGCAGCAAAGAGTCCAGGATCCTGAAGTCCTTAGAGCTGATCCAATACAAACCCCTTTTACAGATGAGAAAACTGAGGTGCGGAGAGGTCACATAAGGGCTTCTCCAGCCTCACAGTGAGTTTCCACAGTCTTTCCACTGACCACACCAAGGAGTGAGTCCCTCTCATTCTCTCTCTCTCTCACACACACACACACACACACACACACGCACTGGTTTGTTTGGCACATCTACGCTTCGGATGCCCACATATTGGCATCAGAGTTCCTGACACACTTTCCTGCATCCTAGACACCGGGAAATATGCGGTGGCCCCGGGCGCTCGTGGGCCTGTGTGTGCTAGGAAGGGGGCTGGGATCGTGGGAACTCTCGGAATCTCAGGAAGTCAAAGTTTTCATCTGAGTGTGGGGCAACCGAGGCCCAGGGCCAGTGGACAGGGCCTGGTCCCCTCACCGAGGCGCTCAGCAGCCTCAGTGCCATCTCCACGTTCCCACTGCTCCCGTGAATAGTTAGAAAAGTTGAAACAAACATAATGTAATTGCTTGTCGATGACAGAATGCCAGGGGAACCATAAAACCCACCAGGCCTCAGCGCCTGCCCAGGCAGGTGGCACCGGGAGGCCGAGCTGGCAGCCTCACCCCTGCCCCGTTGGCTGGGCCTCCTGGGCCTCTCTGCGGCTGGGGAACCGGACCCCCTGTGCCCGCTGACGGCCAAGCCGCACCTCACCTGCCAAGCAGGGTGCCCAGTGCCAGAGCAAACTGGGCCCGGGCCCAGCACACTTTCCAGAAATAGGTTCCTGTGAGAGCCTGAGGCTCGCCCCTCCCTCCACAGCTCTTACCCCCTGCAGAGAATCCCCTGTGTTGCCTCAGACCCTGGAAATGCTGTGTTCACGGCCCCTAAACCCTTAAAGGCCTCAGGAATGTTCACTGGGCCAGGCTGGGGCTCCCCAGCTTCCGTCAGGCCTCCTGCCCTTCCCACCGGCCCCCAGGGTGGGGTGGGGCCCTCCTGGCCATGGAGGAGGTCCGGGGCTCAGGCAGAAAAGTCACTTCTTCACACTCTCCAGAGTCAGTGCCTGCTGCCCGGGAACACACGACTGCTGGGGAGGGTTCTCGGGCCTTTGGCCTGAGGGCAGGCCTCCTCCTTCTTACCCCCCAGCCACCCACCTCATCAGTATTAACAGGGGCCCCAGGGGGAGGAGGCGATGGTTAGGGAGGTGCGGGGGCGGGTGGGGGGTAAGGCAGGTGGGTGGGGGGTGGGTAGATAGGTGGAATTAGCTCAGCAGGTGGACGGATGGGACCCTCTTTGTTTTGGTCTCTGTTTTT